TTTTTTTTTTGTGGTTGGACTCGATGATCTCAGAGGTCCCTTCCAACCACTAAGATTCTGTGATTCTGTGACACAAAGCTAGTTGGTTTTTTCCTGTTTGTTTACACTCAGTCACTGAGATTTTTAGTACCCACAGAGGAAAGCCTCCTGCCGTGTCTTTCTCTTCTGTACTTCTGCAGGCTGGGCAGGAGTTGACCCTCTTCTCCCCTTATGTCCTTCCAGTCGGATCTCATCTACCAGAGCGTGTATGGGCTGATCCATGAGGGTCCAGCACCTGGCAGCACCCAGCAGGCTGCCAATGGTGAGTGCCAGGCAGCAATGCCATCTCCGCGTGGCCACCCGGAGCTGGACAACCCTCCTGGTGGCATTTATAGGCACCCCCTGCACCAGGACTTGCAACCATCCCCAGGGTTGGCATGGCCACCCATCACCAAAAGCAGCCAGCAGCAGGGATGTGCTGTCTGTCTCTGTGCTGGAAGGATAGGGACACTTCCCCCAAACCCCCAAACCACGCTGGAAGGATAGGGACACTTCCCCCAAACCATTTTGCTTTTCAGTGTTTGAAATCCTATTTATTTCAGAGGGGGAGGCTTGTTGTCCTGCTCCTATCTGAGAGGAGAGGGGACCAGAAACTATGGTGAGCTGGTTAATTTCCCAAGGGCAAGATTTAGACTGGAGATGAGGAGAGGGTTCTTCACTGTGAGGGTGGTGGAGCACTGGAACAGGTTGCCCAGGGAGGTGGTTGAGGCCCCATCCCTGGAGATATTCAAGGAGAGGCTCGACGAGGCCCTGGGCAACCTGGTCTAGTTGGGGGGGTCCCTGCTGACTGCGGGGGGGTCGGACTAGAGGGCCTTTGGAGGTCCCTTCTGGCCTGGACAACTCTATGATTCTATGGACCCTTCTGAAGTGGTCTGGAGGAGCACCTAGGATGGGGCAAAGAGCTGGCTAGCCGTGATGCGGAGCCTTACAAATCAGCAGACCCAAAAAAAGCAGCAGGATGGATTCTGCTCATTAACCTTTGCTGTCCTGATTCCTGTAGGACAACGTGGAACGGCGCCTGGCCCCAGCCTGGGGGGTGCTAAGGGCTCTAGGTCCTGCAAGAGATTCACCTTGGGGAAGGGGTGCCCCGCCAGGCTGTGCTCTGTGACTTGTCTCTTATCTCCTCGTACATTGTGTGTGTGCACGGAGCTTCTATTTCCTTGGCAGTGTCTCATTTTATGCTTCGTGATTTCTTTGTGTTGCTGGTGGCGGATGGATGATGCTGAGGAGGAAGAGATGTCCTGAAACTCACCCCCTGCGTTGGATTATGCATTAAAAGGCAATTTGCTTTGTGCAGTGGTGATGGTTTGTTTTGACCTGAAACAGTGTCTCCGTTTCCCCCTTGACTGAGCAAGTATTTAAAAAAAAAAAAAGCCTCTTTTCGGCTTAGCCCCGAGTCTGATTTCTCTGGGCTTGGGCTGAAGGAGGACAATCCTGCTCCCTGCCTCCTCCTGCTCCTGGGGTGGGAGCGCAGATGCTGAAGGGCTGTGCTTTGCCTCGTGCAGGGTAATTTTGGGGAGGAATGCAGCCGTGTGGACAACCTCTGATGTTAGGGGCACAGGTCGCTGCCCCACGGGTTCCTCTCTGACCTTGCTTGGTGCCTGCCCCTGTTGCTGTATGTGACTTGGTGGGGCATTTTGGAAGGACAGAGCTGGTGGGGACCATGGCTGGTGCGTGCACACACACACACACACACACGTGCACGGACTCACACTCATGCCCACGCGCTGGTGTGCAACACACTCAGGCTGACGGTCATCCTGGCACGCCACCCTGATGGCAGTGACACGAGAGCTCACACCCGTCACCCGTGCGGCTGGGGGGGGCTCGCCACCCCATTTTCTCCCCCCATCCACCAGTTGTCACCCCCACATCCCTCCTCACCTCCCGCTCCCCCACATCCCTCCTCCCCTCCCGCTCCCCCACATCCCTCCTCACCTCCCGCTCCCCCACATCCCTCCTCCCCTCCCGCTCCCCCACATCCCTCCTCCCCTCCCGCTCCCCCACATCCCTCCTCCCCTCCCGCTCCCCCACATCCCTCCTCCCCTCCCGCTCCCCCACATCCCTCCTCACCTCCC